TCGTTTAAGCAGAGCAATTAAGCCGGAGCCGCTTTCGATTGGGCTACATTAAAAATGCTGGGTCGTCCGGTGGGGGACGAAGGAAAACACAAATATGCCCGGCATTTATTTATCCAGCTGCAATGTGTTTTTCCAAGTAGGAGAAATTAGGAAGAAATATACGAGATGGGGGAGATTTAAGCTCTGATCCTCAAAGTCACGCCCTCGTCTGCCGGACGCCAGCCAAGAAGGGGAGCAGGTCCAACCCTATAAAGAGCCAGGACTTTCCCCAGGTGTTCTGGCACTGATAAAGCAGCCCCCTGAGTCAGATGTCAGGGATGCTTAACCGATGAGCGAATCTCACGCCCAAATCATGGAGGATACGGTGATGCGGGGGTCAGGCTGGCCCAGGTTTTCACGGGAGTATACTGGTCCAAACCCAGACAGTCGAACATGTAGACTCTCACATTGCTGTGCTAAGATTCACTCTCAAACAAAAGTAAAAACTGTCCAGGACAGCTGTTTTGCATGTAACAAGACATTGTGAGAGTATTTTCAGATATTAACGTCCAGATGTCCTCCAGATTGGGCTGCATCAGCTTAGATATGGATATAACATCCTGTTTCATTTGTTTACATTAGCGACGCTCCAAACAGACGCCTGTGTGACCCCCGCCTGGCACGAGAAAACGTGGAAGTGAATCGAGAAACCCTCACGAGGCTCGGCACGCGGGAGCCAGCGGTAAGGTGGCTGAACAAGTCACGGGGTCACATGACTGTCAGCGGATGCCGCAGATATGGTAGCTTTCTCCCACGTAAATACAGATGAGAAAGACTGACGATTACACTGTCGGAACCATCGTCACCATCTGCCGCACCATCGTCAGGGTCACGGCATCCCTGCCGGTGCTGGTCATTCTGGACACGGTAAAGTCGTACCCATGTTGGAAAGATGGCAATTTCCAAACAAATCACATCGAGGCAAAGTTACAGTATGGCTCAGCCATGGAAGGAGTTTTCATGGTACCAAGCAGTGGACTGGCTGTCGTGTTCCGAACAAGCAATTGCCTCCCCCCCCCCCCCCCACCATCCCCCCGCTGGTCCCTCACCATTATCTGCGCGATAAATCCTGGAAGTGGACGAGGGACAGGCTGGCCGTCTCCGCAAAGCCAAATGGCCTGCTTTAACTGTAATGGATTATAATAGCTAGAGATTGGCTGGTGTGTGTGGGGGGGGGATTTATCAGTCTTTCAGCCCCCAGTGGAAGATCTGGGCAGTGTAAAAGGGACCTGGTTTGACTCACTCTACATCCTCCTCTTGGCCAAGTCAGTCTCTAGCTGAATCTCTGACAAAAGCTTGCCATCCCTGTCATCTAGAGAGGAACCTTGAAAGACATCTGAAATATTTTGGGGAATGACCTTAACCTCAAGGTCTCTGAGCAAGAGCATGGAGACGAACGAGGAAAAAACAATAATAAAAACAGAAACGAAAAAAAGGGCCGTTTAACAGGGAGGAACTCTCAGTTCCTGTTCCTGAGGTCTTGTGACAGGAAGTGAGCATCCTTATTGCCGCCTCAACCCTCTGCATTCACGTCAGGCACAGCAAGGAGACTTCAAAGTGCTCCTTATTTTACGCTCTAAATCAGCAGTTTTCACAAAACAAAAGAATCCAACCTTGAAACGCGGAAGTATTTTCCATTTACCAAGAGACCCCAGCACACTTTAAGCAACTACAGTGTTTGCAGTGGAAATTTCAAATTACCTGGCTTGTATTAGGTTTAATTTGAAAATGCAAATCGATGTTTGTGTTTGCTTTGCTGTGCTGATGGAGTAACCAGACGCACAAAATTGATGCCAGCTACGTGTGACTGTTTAGAATATGAATTAATTTTGAGCAGTTTAATGTTATTAATACAAACGACGAGCCTGCAAGCTAAACACAAATTAATGCAGATAATTTAGCAGCAGTTCACACCAGCGCCAATAAAGTGCGTTTTAGCCACGTGCAGGAATGAGAGAGACCCGGCAGAGATGGAGAAGCACCGCGAGGCGTTTCGGGACAAGCTCAGTCACCGTCTGCAAATCATGGTGCATTGAGGGTCGAGCCCCAAATGACTAACGGGTGCTACTAACACACGCATGGTGAGCGATTGTTATTTAATCATGGCACGTACTGGGTTAGTTGGGAATCATTTTTGAAGATTAATCTCAGTTGAATGATGGCACATCTGCTGGACCCTCATAACTGAGTTACTCACCTTTAAAAAATATAAGAAAAAGACTTGAAATACTTTAATAATTTTACGTTTATCAGTTGCTTTTAGCAAACAGGGGTTAAGGACCCTGGGATTTGAACCAACAACCTTCCAACCACAGGCACAACATTCTAACCTGCCCCCGAATAATGATGAGGATGATGATGATGGCCAGGATTGGTAATAGAAGTTCTGGAATAACGTGCCCTTCTCAACACATATCCATAGTCACAGGTCAGCCTGTCCACCAAGAACTAATCTGGAGAATCTTCCAAGCATGGTCAGACACAAGCATCCACTGACACCGAGGTCAGGTGACCAGCCGACCCCGATGACCATGCTGCAGAAACTCAACCCCACCCTTTCATCCAATGCTCTTCACATTCGACATGTCCGTGCCAGCAGGGGGCTTGACCACGAACACGAACAAAATAAAGTAATTATTGTAGCCGCTTGTTCAGATAGAGCTGACCTCGCCGCAAACCGTAACATCACGGCCTCTCTGACCGAACCACACTGCCTCGGAGACTCAGTGAGCCGGGAAGGTCGGGTGAGATTCCTCTAGAAGGATTCACTTCACAATGGCTGGGATGCATCTCGGAGCATCTCCTGGCGATCGGATTCCTCGTACAGTGAGAAAGCCATGAATTTTCCGCAAAGTTAAACAATTAAAAAAAATTCCACAGATGGTCTCTGGGGCTCTGCAGGGAGGGGGGGGGGATAATTACCTAACACCCTCCTCATCTCGCTCATCTGCGCACTGAGCAGCAAGGCTGACTGTCGCAAGCGTGACGGTGAAGTCCAGACCCTTACTGCCCTGGAAATCACCGTCCACTCGGTCACGTGTGTAGAGCCCAACCCGACACATGTTTACCATTTCATCTCTGTTCTGTGCATCCACCCACACAAAGAACAGAAACATTCTTGCATCCTTTTGTTTAGATGTTTGAAGTTCCTGAAATCATTCCCCGATGGTTAAACAGCCACTGGAGATCAGCTACAGCCTGAGAGACCAGCTGTTTCTCGGGTCAGGGATACTCTGTAAGTTTGCTGCTTTTTTGCATAGACCTCCTTCATGTAAACAGGGGGAAAAAAGAAATGCGTTCGAGGTCAGAGATTAATCTACTTAGTGCCTATTGAGAGGGAAAGCAGGAGTTAAAACAGGTGAGATATTTTAAGAATTCTACAGACAGAGGAGGACCTAAACACAGTTTCACACGACAAACCGTGTGCAGAGAGAAACTAAAATGTAAACCACCCTGAATTTACCACCATTATTTAATTAGAATTAAATCAAGAGTGATTACATGACTAATTACAAAATAAAACAGCGCGACAACAAAAATGGCAAGAATGAGTATCTTTTCTAATGCAACACATTAAACAAAAGATTTTCTGTTTGGGGGTTGTGAGATGTCATTGCAGAGAGAGAAAACACCCTCCCCTAGAAAGATCTTCTTAAATGACGCCAGGTTGTCATGTAGATGGCGCTGGCTGATAACCAAGCCAAATAACAATAAAATCTCATAAAATCGCATGCTGGAACAGATCCTGTCACAAGCATAGCACATCCTGGCTGCGCCCCGAAGGGTTAACGTTTCCCTCCCATGACACGGAGCCCTGCAATAAGCCGGCCCGTCCTCCAATGAAAGGCCAAAGCGGCATCGTGATTTATAGGTGTTCATAAAGAGCGAGCATCTCCCAGGGGTTCAGATTTGTGTGGATTAGAGCATTGGGACCTTAAATAATGAATCCACACAAAGGCTCTGGCAGCCTGCAAAGCAGCCCTGACCAATCATTATGTTCATCAATGTCCTGTAGGTCCCAGGCACCTGGACCATGCTGTTTGCGGGAGATAACAACTCGAAGATGATTATTATTATTACATATATTTTTGCCTGCGGACACTGCGAGTTCTGCTAGGGTGTAAACAAACCGTGACTTCATCTGAACATATCGACCTCCCCACCCCAGACGCAGAGCTTATCGGCAGGTGGATTTCACTGCCTGTTTGATGAAAGATAACGTGTCACATGTGCTCCCACCCACCACCACCCCCCGCCCCCGGTTCCATGGCCCGCAGCGGGAGGAACCCAGGGGGAACAGTCTAATAATCCCACCGAGCCTTGTCAAAAGGTCACCGGCAGTAGGAGAGTGACAGGTGGCAGGCTCGCGAAAGAATAATCACATGGAGATAAAGACATGATACCTCCGCATGGTGAGAAGACAGCAGCGAGGTGGGATGAACTGCAAAAAGAATAGGCAAGGGGGCAGACGGAGGGATGGAGGGATGTATGGACAGACAGACGAAGTCCCAGAGAACACCATGTATCACCAACAATAATAGGGCAATAATAGGGCCTACGCATGCCCTAATTTTTATAGTATGAAAACACCCAGAAATTAGTCTTAATAATAAATATTTAGTTTGACTTGAAGACCATGTCATCCATGTTCAGGAACAAAGTGTGTGAAGATGGAAAGATACGCATCCCCCCACCATTGGGGACAGTGACACAACCCAAGACTGTGACACAAAACGGGAGTTGGAGAGTGGCAATCATTCCATTTTCACACCCTGGAAATGATTAGATTACATGGATGCTTGACCCGCATCCAAGGAGTACAAATGGGAGATAAAAATGTGTTTTCTTTTGCGCGTACAGCAAGATTTGAACCTCTTGGGGTGGGCTGGGGTGATCATCCGAAGACAATGAGGAGCCCAAGACGACCAACGAGTGTACAAAGCGAGGACGGCACCCCCTACCTGTCACCGGAGGGAGGGAGTCCGTTGCGGGACTTGTTGACCTGGGCGTACAGCGACTCCGCGGCCTGCTTGTCGTCTCCAGGCCCCCGTGGCTGGTTGTACAGGGACAGGCTGTGGCCGCTGTCCAGCGAGGAGTCGAAGGAGGCGATAGAGCCGATGCCCGCGTACAGGTGCTCCTCCTCGGAACCAGACACCAGGCTCAGGTCCTGGATCTCGGCGTACTCGCGCTCCCGCGCCTGTCTCTCCCGGATCTCCCGCGTTTTGGCCTGGATTCTGTAAATTGATATGAAACTCTGGTTCATGCCCGAGGTGTGACCCTGGAGACGGGAGCCACTGCAACATGGTAATAATCCCAAAAAATGCACTGCTTCACGCGGAAACACATGTTCTCCTGGTGCTGCTGAGATGTGTGGAAACACCCTCCTCATGCCACAATCTTTCATGTTCAATATCCAAACACGTTTCAGTCATCTGTCAAGGCTTCAGGTAGGCCAAAAGCCTCCGGCCAGCAGGAGGCACTACTGAAATCTCAGCCCCCTTCCTGAAGGGGCCTGGACAATTTTTCCAAGGTTCCTCTAACTATTAAGGCACCAGAAAGCCTCCTGATCCTTCTCCCAAACTCCTCCCGGTCTCCGAACTCTGGAACATTCCTCTGCTGCCATCACTCTCAGACAACGAGGCCATTGAATGCACGGCCCGCCGCCCCCGCCCCTATGCCGATGGTGGGCCCCCCTGAAGAAGACGACGGCGGGGCGAGGCCATGGGGTGGACTCCCAAGGCAGGCGACCCCATGGGCCACGGCCAGAACCGTCAGTGGTTCCAGATGGGCCCGGCGACCTGCTTCCGGGCCAGGTGCTCAATGCACATAGCAGAGGGTCACCACACACCCCCCATGTGGGGAAATCCCCGCCCAAACCCAACAGCATTTCAACGCCTCTTCATCTCGAGCCAATGCTCCCTGAACTTTATTATCATAAGAAACCAAAAATAAACACAGGGACCGACCACTACACCCACCATGGGACGCTGCTCTGTAAACGGGCCGTCTTCCAGAATAACATCCATATGATTAAGCTCCCCGAGTCTTTGGAGGAACCTCAAGCCCAGCCGAGGTCACCTGACTGAGGTCAGCTGACTGCCAACAAAACATGACCATGTCACCATGGGTTTTAGGAGGAACCAAAGAACAGAAACCCCCTTGGAGGATTCATTACTGTTTCTCCTTTTGATTGAATTTAGTTCCCAGGACTGGCGCCTGACTCCTAGCGAGAGGATAGGCTGAGTATAAGATAAGGCTACTTATAAGCAGCATTCAGATGGCCAGAGGCCCTGGGGGCAGGCCTGCTGGAGGCCCTGGGGGCAGGCCTGCTGGAGGCCCTGCCCCCAGGGCCTCCGGCCATCTGAATGCTGCTTATAAGTAGCCGCTAGTGGATGGTGAAGGATATCGCAAAGCCACCTTGGCACCATAGGCTTTGGGTCTGACTAGAAGGGGCAGCCTCTGCTCCTCAGCAGGGGAAATCGGGCTGAACCAGAGAGGTTAGGAGAAATGGTCCCAGTCAGCATTGGCCAGCCACCCCGCCAACTACAGAGCAAATACCCTGGGCTGATCGGGCTAAATGCCCCATGGTGGAGCTCTCTTACGGCTGGGGGGGTACCCCTACCCCCAGAGGTTCTTTTTTAAACATTAATGGTACCATGTGGTGTGAATGCAGACAAGAGGCTGCCCCAAATACATACCCCACTCCCAAGCAAAGGAAAAACATCAGCAAATGCTAAATAAAAACATTCAAGGCGCTTGCATAAAATAATTAAAATAAAGGCTGAATTCTGATGAGAAAGAAAAATAGAGTTATGGAATCGGCAAGGACGAAGGCCGATTTTCTCCAGTGAGGACAGAGAAAACTGCAGAAACAGCACACAAAAACAAAAATAATCAACGTGTACCTTTTGTGCCCAAAGCTAATTACTCATCAGTGCTCTTGTAATTAAATGGAAGCTCTGAAATTATGGACAAGAATAGAAAGGAAGCGGAAGAAGCAAGCGCCGGTATCGATTAAGCAATATTTACGAGCTTTATATCTGCGGCTCGAGTCAGACAGGGAACGGGATCCCTGAATCCCCCCCTCCCGGACCCCATCCTCCTCAGGGGAGGAAGCTTTCAGGCAGTGTTGAAGACAAAGCCAACCATTTCCTCCCAGTCACAGGAAGCCATTGGCGGCGTGGTCTTTCACCAGCCAGAACTTTCCGGATATCTCCATCACCAACATCCAAGGACAGAGTGGGGACCGCGTGGGAGGCTCTTACCTTCCGGAAAACTGTGCCCCTCCTCTATTCCCATGGTAACAAGTAGGGCTGTACCACGCATTGCTTAAAGTGAGAACTCAGACGGCTGACATTCCAGCGCCCCCATGGTGCCAAAATGTTACTCTAAGGCACGACAGCGTATGACATGGCTAGCTGAAGGGTCAGGGCGTGTGACGTCACTGGGCCATCAAGAAGCACAGCCCCCATAACACAGGACAGATTAGATATCCGGCTTGTAGTATGGTGGGTGATAAGGGGTTAAACGGGGGGGCTGCCGTTCTCTGTAGTCAAGCTTGCCATGTCGAATAAATCACACCACTTAGCAGTCGGAACTTCATTCGGCGAGTGCGCTGTCCCGACACACACCTTTAAATGCTAAATTAAATTAGCGGGTGCACTGGTGCGCGGGGGGGGCGTGTTGGTGGTGAGAGGTCATGCTGGGGTTGGCGTGCCATACCCCGCCAGTTACACAGAATCGTGACTATGGTTTTATACACTCCTATACCAATGGCATCCAGGCTTGGATTTGAGCGCAGGGCAAAAGCGGGAAAATGACAGCAGAGCGTGGAAACACCTGCAAATCCTGTTGACTCCCGACATCCTGAACCCCCCCCACCCCCCCCACCCCCGTCAACACCGATCTGAGCCCCCCCATCACTTCATCAGCGCGATAATTGGCCAAACGCAAACTCCATAATAATTCATCTCGACTTATTGCTGGCTATCAATATAATTAGATATATAATCAGACTCACAATCAATCCATGCGATCCACGGCCTAATTGCATGTGGTAATTCAGTCAGACAGATGAATGTTATAAAAGGCAATTAAATTAGTTTGAAGTAATTCAACAACATCAGAACTATCGCTGTAATTAATTTGTAAGTAGTAGAAGTACTTTAACTGGATAAAAAAGGAAATACATGGAAAGAAACGGGCAATAGCTCTGTGTTTAATACAATATGCATAATATGTATATTTATAGTAAAGCACAAGCCCCTCGACATACATACTGATGAGAGGAATCGCGCTCTGGACATTTAAATGAGAAAAAGGCCGCAGGTACAACATGAATTAAACAAGATCTGTCACTACGGGGGATCGCAGCATGCAGGCTGGGGTGGGGGGCGTGCATCACGGTTTCTGACTTCCACGGTTGTTTACGGGGGGGGGTGACCCCCCAACGCAGCAAGGTTACTACACATACAGGGGCAGCACCAGGTGTCTATTTTTAAAGTGGGAAAAGGTTAAGATGCACGGTGTGAGCTGGTCATTAGGTAACCCACAGAGTCGAGAATGCAGGGGGAGGGGCCGCAGCACCCCCCCACGTTCTGCCTGGTAACACTACTGCGGGCTGGTGCCAGGGGGCAGGAAGAGGAAATGGCCACAGGAAAAAGCTTCTGACCTCCAAAAAGAGACCGGGAGGTGAGATCGAGGAACAAAAATAGCCACATGATCCCGCGTGGCCGAGCTAACGCCTCCCTCAGTGAGCGTCGCTAACGGCTCTGGGGCAGGCTCGTGTCACCAGGCCCTTTCCCAACTCGGTCCAAATGTGCCGCAACAAGGCCTCTGGGCCACCCACCAGCACAACACATGTCCGTACACCGGGGGGCGCCGAAGGGGCAAGCTGGTCCTGGATTTTAATGATGTCCCTGATGATACCAAGGTGTTGGAGGCAACAGCAGAACAAACTCTGCCAATGATTTAACTTTTAATCAGCTTCTCCAAGGCACCGCTGCTCAAAGCTACACACCTGCAATTGGCCCACCCAGTGCTAACCGCCAATGCTAGCTACCGGTGCTAACTGTGAACCGTAGCCACCATTGCTAGCTGTGAATGCTAGCTGCTGGCGTTCACCACAAATGCTGACTGACAACTGCTAGCTGTCAGAACTAACTGTTAATATCAGCTGCAGTGGCTAATTGTCAATGCTAACTGCCAGCGTTAACCGTCAACGATAGCTGCCGGCGCTAACTGACGCCACTAGCCCCTAAACTTTGCATGAGGAACACCAAACGCACAAATGCCTAGTGTGAGCAGCCAAAATGCTAATTTCCCTCTAACCCCATGCCTTTGAAAAAGCTCGGGTGAGACGAGTAAATATATAATTTTCACTTAATAACAGCATGTGATAAGGGTGATCCAAACTGTCCCCTGGCTATTTTATGAATAAAACACAGCATTAAAGCGCGCGAGTATTAGCCTTTTTGCCAGCGGGCCTCTCTGCCAGCCTGCAGCAGTGAAAGGGGCCCATCCGTGGTGCCACGGAAACAGGGAGGCGGCCTCATCCATCATGGCATTAGCCTGTGGCGTGGCCAGCAGTCGCATTACACTTCACCCTGTACCTGTGCTCCACGCCGCTCTGCTCCGCTGCTTTATTACCAGGGGAAATTTCCCCCAGGACCAATGCCGTTAAAGGTGGGAAAATATGGGTGGGGTTCGATGACAGGGAGGAGAAAGAACACCCCCCTCCATTTTCAGATGCGGACAAATGGAGACAAATGGCGATGAAAATGAATTTCTCAACGCAAGAGATTCCACACAAACAGATGCAAAGACAAGAAGGTACCAAGGACATGTGTTGGAAGCCCGCGATGATGTGCCCGCCGCTTTTCTGGGGGGGGTTCCACCGGCGCCCCACCGTGGTGGTCCGGCCCGCAGATTAGCGCCCATTGTTTATTTTCAATTCCAGGTCCAGGGAGGGGGCATTATGGAGCACCACCCGCACACTGCACACAATAGACACAGCTGCCGCTCTGCAGCGAGGTCTCCAGGGTAACGGCAATCGAAAGGAGACGGACCCACATCCGCACGCCGGTCAGGCTCATGAGGCAGGACTGTCACAAGGGCGTTCCATTCAAAAAACACCAAATAACCCCCCCACCCCCCCACCACCACCACCCCACACAGCTAAGACAGGGGAACAGCAGGGTGGCCACTGATTCGTAATTATAACCAGATTCACATCCAATCAGGTTTCAAGAAGGTGAGCAGCAATTAGCAGGGCAGCAAAGGCAAAAAAGAGAACTATTTATAAACGATCAATTAAGCTTCCTGTTAGAAATGGCTGACATTTACTAAGTGATCTGCGGATGGTTTTTCTCCCCTATTTATTTAACTGGACAGCTCATCCCCTGTCCTGGGTCTGGGGCCCAGTCATAGCCTTTATGGCTCACCTCTCCTTCTCCATTTTCATCCGCCGCGCCTCCTCGTGCGACACCTGCGTCTCCTCCACCTTCGATTTGCTGGATGCCTTGCGTTCCACTCCGCCTCGCTCATCTGGCCGCTCATCTTTCCGGTGCTTTCCAAACCTGTAAAACCGTCATGGTGTCAGCCAATCCTGCTTCCCACCCTGCCACCCCACGATGGCCAAGGCCCTAATTTGTACGATTCACTTCTAATTTTGCTGACACGTAATGCCCCAATCTGAAGAAGAAGAAAAAAAAAAAAAAAACTCAGAACCTTCTAGAAAAGAAACGTGGTGCTGGCACTTTCCTTTGTGCCCCAGACGTCGGGCTTCTTTACTCCATGACCGAAACATGGCCTTGTTGAAGTCCAGAGCCGCTACCTCAGGCTTTTCCCGTGATTGGCGCTGAAAGGAGCCATTTCTTAATTTTATCTCTTCCTCCCGTTTAAGGTTTTCAGAGCGACGCGGCGTTATTTAGATGGAAACTTTACATTTTAATGATGGGACGACACTGGCAGCCTGTAAATTCAGAAAGAAGTGTTGTGGGGGGGGGGGCAAGTGGGGCAATCTTGCTGATGAACGGTGAGGTAGGCGGGCGGGAGGCAGGAGTGCGGAACGCATCGTAAACTCGGCAGGGGGCTCGGCGCGGTGTATGAGCTAACGAGGGGGCGGATCAGGCTGAGAAGCAGGAAAGCGTGACGAGTCTGAGGCGGTGGTGGTGGGGGGGGCAGGGATCACCCACATAAATTGTATCAATGTCAATCATGGGGCGGGGGTGGTCTGGGGTCCGGCAAGGCATCATGTGACCCAAAGCTAGCCCCAGCCCTGTTCTTCATTCAGTTCCAATGGCACAGAAGCAGCTTCATTTACAGCCGCTCCCAGATTCCTCAGAAGCGGGGTCATTAAGGACCGAGCAATGCACACCTGGACTGCGGCTCCATCAGACAGCCTGGACAAGCTCCACCCCAAAAGGGATCTGCGGGAAAATGCAGCTGTCTGGATGCCATTAGCATTATGGGATATGACCTAAGGTCCATTCTGGGGGGGGGAGCACGGGCTGTTAGGAATCCCGACCACATTCTTGCATCACTGAGAAACATCTTGGGTCCAAAGAAGATGTTCAGTATGTTTTACATTCCACACATTACTGAAACACAAATCTATCTGGACAAATTCCCGGCCTAATGAAATGGGTTTCCCAGGGAACTGGGGACAGTGTCGCGATTTACACACACTAGAACAAATTTGTTGCGGAATCCATTAATGGCAGCATCACAAACTCTGTGAGAGACTTGAAATGTCGGGGAAAAAGGGGCGGGGACTGATTAGGGAAATCCCCCGATTGTTGAAAATCAGGCTTTGTTTGATGAGTTTGATTGTATTAGGGAAGATAACCATCTCAATTAAGTCATACTGCAATTAGCTGGAATCGTTTATCTTTACTTTTTCTGTGCAGAGGTCTTTTCAGGGACGTTAACTACTCACGCATCTAAAATGATTATTTTAGGTGATGCTTCCTTAGGAGTATAATGAATAAATGAATGTATCAGCGTAATGACGAGCTTCAGATTGGCCGCCGTGGCCCTCTTCACGCTAAAAGCGCCTCTCTCGGCGAATTTCCTCTTTTCGTGTCATCAGTGATGTAGGACCGCAATCTCTGCAATGGGGGTCAGCCTGTCCAGAGGCCCGTTTACCGCCCCCCCCCCCCCCGCAGGAGTCAAGGTGGGTCGGCCCCGTTTGTATGAGAAACACTATACATTACCTGATTAATTAATTAGGAAATGGACCACGGAGAGGAGAAAACCTCGAATCACCGCGGTTACTAATAAGGAGAGCTCAGTCGTCCATCACCGAGAGGGTGACAGCGACAAGGACTTTCACAAGCTCCAAAAAGCCGCCTTTGTTTCCGAAAGTGCAGACGCGGGATGCTCCGATTAGCCCACAGCACACGAGGGCCTGTTTGCACCACGGATATGAGAGATTTTATGCCGTAAAATGATCAGTTTTGGCATTTTTTCTTGCATGCGTAGCGTGATCGCTGGGAAGAGGCTGTGTCCATCAGCCTTAATGAAATGGGGCCCTAATTAACGGGCCAGGCCTCGTAAGGGACCTTGGGCAACTTTACAGGCTGGTCCATTAAGCTTTACGGGACGGGAGTTAAAATGCTGAGTGTCAGGACCGCAAGGAGTCATGGGACCATCACAGAACCTTACTACAATAATGCTAAAACACAGCTGTTACCTGAGCATGACCTGCCCACGCGACAGACACAGGCCTGTGGTTGCAATAATAATAATAATAATAATAGATACTTTTATTGATTCCAGTAGGGAAATTGTCTTTATGCCTCCCTCAACTTGCTCTTTGTAGAGTAAGCTGTCTGCAAAGGGCAGCCACCTGTTGGGGTGTCCGGGTAGCTGGGGGTTAAGGGCCTTGCAAAAGGACCTACAGACGTGCTGAGGCTGGGTCTGAACCGGAGACCTTCTGATTACAGCCACACAGGCTCAGCCCACTGAGCCACACGCTGCCCCGAAGAAGCCTGACCAAGGCAAAAACATTCAGTGAGAAGCAATTACAATGTGCAGGTGAGGCCACTTCCCTGTTTCACAGCAGGGAAACAGATAGAGGGTGAAAATGCTGCAAATCTCGGGGGGGAGGGGCCCGACCTGACCGTGATCATGACCACAACCACGGCCCAGTCGACTGCTACCCCAGGAAATGGCACCTTCCCACATACTCACCCCCCCCCCAAAAAAAAACCTCATTATTTTATGGTGCCTAAGTCATGCAAAGTGGGAAAGTAGAGAGACGACCCACAGCGGGAGTGACCCGCACCCCCCCTCCCAGGAGAGCCACGACGGAGCTCCATCATCAACCTCATTCTCCCTGCAATAAAAGAGAAAATAAACAACAACAATGCATTGTATGAATATATTCATGACATTAATGCATGGCTTGGGCTGGGGGGGTGGTTTCTCACTGTGGACTGTGGGTGGCCCCCGCTTCAAAGTTCCCTGTACACAGCACACCCCCACCCAAAAAGCCCATTTTGGGCCTTGCGGGGTGGACGTCTGCTCAGCCCGATTCACCTTAGTTGCCAGACCGCGGAAATAGGTCATGTGACCAGCCGCAGTGTTACCACCCCCCACGCCACACCTCCGACTGGGGGTCCCGAGGTTTGGGGACCTCCTGTTGGTCACAAACAATCACTACACATGGAGGGGAGGGGGTAAAGTGACTTTTGGAGTGAGACCCCAGAAACAACAAATCAGCTGACCTCCCCCAAAGGTAACACCATAAAAAACATGGTCACAGACATGGTCAAAACAGCAAAAATCATTTAACCCCCCCCCCCAGAAAAAAATATTTCTCTTTCGTTCCTTCATTATGACCCACCCGCAGTCCACCAGCAGACAGGCCCTGCCTTCCCCTTACATGCCTTTCCGATTTATTATTCCTCAGGGTGTTAAGAAAAACAGGACCCCCCCCTATGACATCCTGCACCATGGGACCCTCCCCTCCATCCAGGCCCCCCACAGCCTGGGTGCAACAAAAACAGCAAGTTTGGCAGAAACCCAGCAGCGACCCGGGTGACATTTATCAGAGGCGGCCACATTCCAAGCGTTTTGGTCACCATTTTTGGGGTCTTTAAAGTCCGAATTTATTTTTTTTTTGGGGGGGGGGGCATACTTTGCCATCGCCTGATTCCAGCCTGCCGGGGTGGGGGGCGTATTGCATAGGAGTGGAGCCGCGGCTCGTGGTAGCATGTAACACATCTGATGAATGACACACCCCAGCCGTACCCACACAGGGGATGGCATCGTCATGGAAACATAGGGGCTGCGACACAGGGGCTGCTCAGAATTTGTCCCGGGGCCTAACTGGCATTTTTAACCCAGCGCACCTCTGTGACCTTTATGATCTGCTTACTATGCGTACCATACTGAAATGCTAAAGGCTCAAGGATCCAAGAGCAGCGCCCCCTTCAGGGTTTGATGTAATTAACTCTCTCCCACACTATTTCAGACACACTTTGCCTTGTTTGTATGGAGGCTGCCGGCGGGGGTGGGGGGGGGGACGGGGGTTGAGGACATGAGCACAGGGAATCTGCACGTCTGCCCTGTCACATCGAGGGGCCTCAGGGAACGCCTATACCCACTGGGGCAGAAAGGTGGAGGTTACAGAGTCTCAGGGGAGCAGAGGAGGGGGTGGGGGCGTAGTTTACTGGAGAAACACAGGATCTGCGCAGCCAGCCACCGCCCTTCCCAGCTATGCTGACCGGATCTGCCTCGCTTGGAGATATCGCAGCTTTTATTTTATTGTATTTTACACCCCCCCGGATGTTCATGGCAGGGACCCAGTTATGCCCCCGCATGATAAAAATGGAGGGGAATGTCCTCTTTATGTTATTACCGGCTCTCGCAGTTCACTGGTGGCACTTTTAGACGAGTAAAAGCAGATCATGTGGGGGGGAAAAAATCTGTAAGGGGTGGGAGGGGTTGAACCTAGGTATAGAGGGGCTGTGCGGCCCCCAGAGCAGGGGGCCAGTTCCTCACAGGGCTGACCTCTCGCCTGCCTGTAAACATGCCACCGGAACATGGAGACACGGTAAAGGACGATGCACAGGAAATTACCTCGTCAACTTCTACAAAAATATTATAAGGCACAGGAAGTGAAGTGAAAAAAGTGCACAGGAAGTGAAGTGAAAAACATGGAAACTAAAAGTTTGGGACAGAAAGCAGGGGCCCCATGAAGACAGAATTTCCAGGAGCTACATTTAAAGATATAATATGATTATTTAAATGATAGCAACATGTCTGTTATTTGCAATTTTAGCAGATACTTTTCATGAGTTGCCCCTGTCCCAGCTGTAATGGGCTATTCTACTTTGAGACTTTATGCTACCCAGCTGTCTTTTACCACTGGAGCCCACTGGCTCTTCACTGCCAAGCAAACTGGCACAAAGTAGCCTAATAAGAACGAAACGTCAGAAAGATACAAGACTAACATTAACATCTCCCTGGTCGGATTCTGTCTCACTGGAGTGGAAGACAACTTGTGAACGGACATGGGGAGATGCAAAAACTCAAGTCTAACCTTAGTAAAAAAGAGGGAATGATTAAACTTGACACAAATACATACAGTAAACTGGTTAAATTTGCAGACGACACCTAGATGGGTGGTGTAGCAGATACTGACCTAGCAGCACAGAGGCTACAACGGGATCTTGATTAAATTAGCGACTGGGCTGATACCTGGCGGATGAAATTTAACATAGACAAATCTAAGGTAATCCATGCAGGGAGCAGAAATATAAAGTACAGATATTTTATAGGTTCCACTGAAGTAAAGGTAGCTGATTATGAGAAAGACCTCGGTGTGTATGTTGATGCTTCCATGTCCCACTCTCGACAGTGTGGGGAAGCAATAAAAAAGGGCCAATAGGATGTTGGGTTACATCTCTAGGTGTGTGTAGTTTAAGTCAAGGGAGATGATGCTACGATTATATGATTCCTTGGTAACACCCCACCTAGAATATTGTGTGCAGGTTTGGTCACCATACCTTAAGAAGGACATTGCTGCCTTGGAAAAGGTGCAACGGAGGGCTATGAGAATGATTCCTGGTCTTAGAGGAATGTCTTTTGAGTAGAGGTTAGTTGAGCTGAATCTGTTCGGCCTCGAGCAAAGGAGACTAAGGGGGGACATGATCCAGGTATATAAGATTCTAACAGGTCTGGATGCTGTTCAGTCAAATGGCTACTTCAATATTAGTTTAAATACTGGAACTCGTGGCCATAAGTGGAAATTAGCGGGAGAACATTTTAAAATGAATTTGAGAAAGCGACTTCTTTACACAGCGTGTGGTTAGAGAACAGGATCCCTGCTAGTGTAGCGGAAGCTAAAACCCTGGGTCCCTTTAAATCAGAGCTAGATAAGATTTTAACAACTCTGAGCTATTAGTTAAGTTCTCCCCTAACGAGCTTGATGAGCCCAATGGTCTCCTCTCGTTTGTAAATTTCTTATGTTCTTAAGTCTGATCAATTGATCCTGCTGCATGATACCCCTCCCTCATCAACAAATCTTACTGACAGCACTCCTGCCCCCACCCTTTTTGGTAAGTTTTACCATCGCCCCCCCCCACACTTTGATTACAATATTACTGATGCTCCATTGTGTAGAATTAGCTCTCGTTTTTGTTTTGACTCCAACAGCCCACTTAGGCCCCCCCCAAACACCCACTGCCCCCCAACAACGCACTGGACCTGGCTACGTCAGAAAGGGCGGCAGCATATCAGATTCCATTTAGGCGGGATTTCAGATTCGATTAGTGCGTGGGGGGGCAGGAGGGCGCGATCATTTGAAATGCGGTTAGCCGGCGGCATGAACACAGCAATGTCGCGGGTGATCAGCATCGAGTGGCTGCCAGGATACATGACACCCCCCCCAGCCGTAACGTGATTACGACCTCTCAGAACATATTTACGATTTAAAAAAAAGGGGACGACAAACCCCCCATGACATTCAGAGACCCCCCTGGTGGCCTCCACTGTATTGGCAATGCCCCCCAATAATACCCCCTCCCCGCTCAGAAAAAGAAGGACGAGAGTGACAAGAGGATGATGGTGCCCCCGGTGACACTTCTGGATCGGTCCAATTCGACAGCATGCAGGGGTGACACCAGGAGATAGTAATGTCCACAAAGCCAAACAGGGCCCCTTGGGGCCCAGTTCTCCCTGCACATTGGTCCGGCTGCTCCAGGGCCTGTTCTGCCAATGCGATGCTGTCTCGGGATCTAACCTCCATGGAGCCCACAAGTGGAACAGTCTTGCTCTGTATATCCGGAACATTCCACCTAGGACCTCCTAGGGGCAGTCCAGAGGACATCCAGAATTGTGCTCCATCACCAGTCACACTTTGGAAAACCCAACCCCCCCTCCATAGTAACCCCCGTGGCTCAGCATCTGATGAGTGAGGCCGTGTGAGGCAGGTGGGGAGGAGGTGTCGATCATTAAGTGAATTACACAGGAATTGCATCGGGACAGTAGATACACTAGAGAAACACGATAAACAGGCATAAAAACACCCCCGCCTACATTGTGCGTCACAGCCGCAGTCAGCAGACCAATCCCATTACACCAGTCCCTGGAGTGGGGGGTGGGCGGCACAGCTTGCAATAACCCCCCTGACCATGACACACTAACGAAAAACCAAAATCTACACAATTAATCGCAGGTTCCCTTTAATTAGCTTCAGCAAAGCAATATCAAACACGGCCTAAAAAAGCGACCTCCTCCGGATTGACGGTGTACCCCATGGTGCTATGGAGGAGTGTGGCCAGGGGGAGGTGCTGCATGCCTAAGGAGCCCCACCCAGTGCGCCGGACACCCCACCAGTGACACAGCGAGGCATAATGGCCAAGGAAGACTCTGCACCTGTAACTCGTGCGATCGCATTCCTACACAGACATGCATAGGGTGGTTACTGTTTACAGAGCATGAATAAACCGTAAGCCCATTAAAAATGATTATGGGTGCTGTTGCGCGGTGGTGCCTCAATGGGGCGCTCTCACCTGAACATGTCTCCCAAGCCCTTCAGCATGCCCTTCTTAGCCTTGCTCTTCTCCTTCTCCTTCTCCTTCTCTTTGTCCCTCTCTGACTTCCTCTTGTCCTTCAGCGACTTGTCCTTCTTCCTCTCCTCCCTGGCCCGGCTCCCCCCGTCACTCGTCCTGTCACCGCCGGGCCACTCCCCGGACGGCAGCTGCAGGTCGGTGGAGGTGGATACGGAGTCCCGGCCGGAGCGGGAGCTCTCCTCGGTGTCCTCCTCCACTGCGGGGCGAGAGCACGCTAATTATGGTCTCCGTGCCGACATGCACACCTGCAGACCGGTAGCTGTTATAAAATCAAGTTGGTTAAGTATCAGTGGACAACAGACTGAGCCTCAAGGGATCAGTGCACAACAGACTGAGCCTCAAGCGACCTACACCACTTCCCATCCAGGGATCAGCGGATCCCATGGGTCAGTCCTTAACCACCATTCTGGAACTTTCCTGGACATCTGCAGTATGGAAAGCTGGAAACGGTATGGGTCATCCCGCGGGAATTTCTATTGACCTCTATATCACCTCCATGAAACCAGGCGCAGTAAATGCACCAGGAGACAAGGATACGGCGATACGCTTATTAATCTGCTCTGACCTGCAAGGGGGTTTGGAGAAGCATCTGCCAATTAAACACTAATGTAACGAAGTGATCTGCTCCGCACCGAGAGGGGCGATACATCACCATCCATTACAGGAAGCAAAGTCTTCACAGATGCCTGGAGGGGGGAGAGGGAGTGGGGGACCCCAAGTTGAAGTCCCAGCAGGGGAACTCCTAATGACCTCCAGCGAGCTACTTAACCTCAATTTACTCAGTACGCATCGAGCAGGAAAAATGGAGGGAACGCTGAAACGATGAGCATAAACAGAGCCGAAGGCTTCTGCGGCGCAAACAATGATGAAACTAAACGTAAGAGAGCCAGCGAGAGCGAGCAAGCCTGGCCTGATGCTGCCTCCTGCACCACAACCTCTGCAGCTGCATTTGCCATGACCCTGCTCTCAAAAACCCCCTAACCCTTTTCACACTGCGCTTTCTGCCATGGTAGTGCCTCTGGTTACCGGATGGCTCTGCGCAGGATCACCCAGAATCGCCTGAGAGCAGGAAGGCTTTGGTGTGCACAGGTGTGTGGGTGTTTGATTGGCCGCTTGCAGACGTCTGTAGCTTCATTTTCCACCAAAAACCGCGTCTCTTGAAGGGATTTTGCTACAAAACGCAGCACTGCAGTCATCGCACTGGCTACCACGTTGGACTGAACGTGCACACAAACACCTTCGCTGATGCGCTTCCAGGCAGCACTGGCTAACAGTTAAAAGCAGCGAATACAGTCCTGACTGTACAGTTATACTGCAGATGGAACATAACACACCAAAGGATGTTAATTACAAGCTGATTCTTCCTGTAGCAGATTCTATCCTGACAGTATGATCTAGGACAGTGTGGTAGACAGGGCGTGATTAATGTGTTACCACACAGCCAGCGTCATCGTTATCAGGCGAGGATGCTGGGGATGGCCAGAGATTCCCTTATCACAGTGTCGGGGGGTGGGGGGGCTCCCCCAGCAGCATGGCGAACGGCCTGGAAATCAAGCTGTACCGGGTTAAGGTGGCGGCTCACCTCTGAGCCACGTCCAGCGATCGAACCTCTGCAGGAACCAAACAACAGTGCTGCGTCTCGAGTTCGTTTCAGCTAATGTGCTGAAGAAGGTAAGTCCCGGGGCCTTGGGTGAAGCCGGGGGGGGGGGGCGGAGCATTTTTCCTGCTGCCTTACCCACGGTGCCGTGGAAACGGGAGCATAAGGGCCTGACAACAATGAGTGGACTTAATCTCCCTTCGCCTGGCAGAACGAGAGCCAGGCGAGAGACAGGAACAACGACAACGGGAAACAAAGAGACAGAAGGAAAAAAACCAAAATGCTTTTCGCTAAGGAAGGATTGCAGCGATGTTGGGGAGGCATCAGACACCTCGAGAGTGTACCATTCAGGAGGGGGGGCATTAATTAGACTAATTAAAAAGGCCTTAACAACCCACAAAGTGGAAATCATTTCGATGCTTCAGTCCAAGGACCGTGTTAATCTGTTTTTTTGGAAATCAGGTCAAAAATTTGTCTCCCCATAAGGAGGAAGACTCGATGTAATAGAACAGGCGAACATTTAACCCAGAAACGAGCGCTGAAGTCTGACTTTATGCAAAAGCTGCTTCTCTGTCAGCCGAACTGTTAACCTTGGTGACGGGAATAGCGATGTCTGCTTTATCTAGGAAAAAAAAGAAGCCTATTTAAATACCGCCTGGGAGAATACAATGCACTATTACAGGATACAGCTTTTTAAATGCATTTTCTCCCCTGATAATGCTGAGGTATTTAGTATAGTGCAGGAAGCATGAGGGAACATCATCCAAGCGAGTCGTCTGCTTTCAAACTTCCCTGAAGTTGATAATAGAGTTGCTCAACGGAAAATAAAAAACCTTGCTATAACCGCCCCCCAACACCTAACTGACGTTCCATCCATGACAAGATGGCAGTTCTGGAGCGGCTTGGCAGACTGGCACAAGAAGACTCGCTCTCTGATGGTCTCAGACCTTCTAGGTCTTGCTTTCCCGACCTGATTCACCTCTGCCGGTCAATTCCTGCCACGGGGTGTGACCAAACTGGGTTTATCTGAAGCCCCTGCAGGCGTTAGGGACAGACTGGGAGGAAGTGGTCGCTTTTTAACAGGTCCGACATCCTGATCTTGACCTCTCGGGACCACAGGCAAGTCCGGTCGGCTAAACCACAGTAAGCAGAGTTCAGTAATGATTGGTGGGGGAAGGGTCATACCTCTGCCAGATCCCCCTTCCCCCACCCCCAGGCTCCCCCTGCAGGCCCATGTTCCCACACAAGCCAGAAGCAAAGCTGCTGAGCAACACCGGCCCCACATTCACGCCGGAGATCTCCAGGGATCTGTGCCACCCTGAACTCCGAGCCCGAATATGGAACTTGATTAAAAGAAATGGAGCCCACAGATGTTCCAGAACACGCTACAAGCATGCACACACATGAAGGCATGTTCTGGCTGCAAGAACAGGCCGTCACACACAGTGGTGACTCAAGAGCGCAGTCATATTCCAGTTTCACTATCTCTCATGTATCTATTACAGTCAAAATCTATTTTTCTGTATCTATTTTCCATCAAAAATTCATCAGACCTCAACCGTGGTTTTTTGACGGCTCAAACGTGACGTCAACTTAGAAAGCTCTCCCACAGCATTTTTGGAAACTGCTGGCTGGAGATGTAAACGTTCTGAGAAGTGCACTGACCATGAAAAACCACAGCTGGGCAACAGGTGGCGCAGTGGTTGAAGACCCAGAATCATTCAGCTAACTGTTGCGCCCTTGAATGTGACTGTTGATCTGCATTCCTGTGGTAAATACTGGATTTTGTAACTAGATAAGAGGTTAAGTGCTCTCACTTTGGAAGAGAACTTTCTGGATAAATCCGGTCCTGCCACACTTACGTGTCTCCATACCCTCGTCATCCTCGTCGGCGGCCGGCCGGTCGTATGACTTGTCGATGGCGGCCCTGAAGCTCTCATTGCAGACCCTGCCGCGGATGATGGGCGGCCGCGGCCTGTGGAATGGGACGTCGCCATTCGATATGACCTCAGCGACGGCTGTCTGCAGGCTCTCCAGGGAGCTGGACTTTTTGAGGCCTAGAGACGGGCCCACATCTCTTGTCGGAGAGCCTTTGTGGAGGAAAACACAACAGCAGGATATAGTGCATACCATTGTGGGCAAATGCGGGTATAAATGCAAGATGCTGGGAGGTTAATCTTCACCCAAAGTCAAGAGCTACTTCATCCAACTTTAATAATTCTTAACAAAACAATCGTACATATTCTGCATAGACAAATATACAGTGGTACCTCAGTTCTCAAACTCATTAGAACTCGAATTTCTTAAAAGTCGAACCAACCAGTTCGAAAAAAAAATTACCTAGAACTCGATCTGAGTCTCAGAAGTCAAACCATGAACGCCAACCTAAGATAACTTGTATGCGCGGGGAAATGAGTCGAGTCATGCGGCATGTCTCTTAGCGGAATCAAAGGGTAACGCTTCAGTCTCAGCCTCATATTCGCTGTGATGACATCGTGCATGTTTACACTAGCTGAATACATATATTTAGACAGTAAAAAAACATTTAGACAATGATAGACAGTAACAGTAATTATTATTATATAATAAAATGCATTTAAAAATAAAGATTTCTTATTAATTATTTTAATATTAATAATAAACCATTCATATATTTAATTATAATAATATTGTCATGCCGAGCGGGGACGGAACGGAGACAAAGGTGCAGATGTCAGGGTATCGGGGAATATGGGGTTGAATTACAAGTAAGGCAGGCAAAACGCAGACGGACAATACAATGACCGGACTGGGGAAACAAACTGAAACACAGACGAAATACAGAGGACTAATGACAAGAACCAGAAGCAGCTGATCACACAGGGATTCCACACGGGGTTAACGAGGGGGCGTGGCACGACACATTGTTTTTTTTTTTTACTTTACACATTGTTTGGATACATTTATTTTCTTACGTTACAAATTACTGTTTTGATAAATGTGCTTAGATGTGTTTAGTACAGTATATGCTTCTTGTTTTATCCGGTTCATTTTGTGTTTAAATGCTAAAAAAAAATTGCCGGGAACCAATTAATTGGTTTTCCATTATTTCTTATGTGGAAAATTCTATCACAACTCAAACTTTTTAGGATTCGATCCAGAGTTCTGAACGGATTAAGTTCGAGTTCTGAGGCACCACTGTATATTCAAAAGCTCTGCTAACAGAATTATTATAAGAGCAATGTGAAAATTTTCAAATCTGCATTTATTCTGGAGATAATGGTAACTTTTAAGGATATGTTGTTATAATAGCTTTATAAATTCAACTCAGATTAATGTCCCACAGCTCGCTCTGTACCGTTACACTGTGAGGACCCAGAGGTCATGTTCCTGTGCCAGTTTTGGGGCTGCAGGGGGCTGGGGCCTTCCTGTGCGGTTGTGGGCACCCGCCCTCTCCCCCATCGCCTCCGTGGGTCTAATCCCTTTGTTTATTTTCACCAAAGTTTCAGGGCGTAAAAAGATAGTCCTTTCACTGCACCCTGTCAGTGTACACGGACCTGAGCCACCCAGGAGATGAGATCACGGACCGAGGAGCAAGATTCAGAACCGCGGTGAGTCGTATTGGCGAGAGATTGCATTACACTCCCATTCCTGCCTGGCTGCGCACCAGCGTGTCGCTGGATCGCGCTGCTTGTTTATCGAACGCGAGGCCGCAGCGTAGCGGTGATTATTATCTCTGTCAGGTCACTGAGGGTGACACCGCCTGCCAAACGGATGCCTGAGGACTCAAATAGAGAGAGTCTCTAAATTCAATTCTGGAAAATTCCCAGCCATGATGCTTGAGTGTTTCTCTCTCTGATTGGCACGGTGCAAGCTGAGTGGGCGCTTCTTATAAACAAGCAAACAAAGTCTTTATTGTGATTTCTCTTCTTTTTCTCAAAGGTGACTTTCCGGAAGTTTCCCGTTTGAGTCTGAATGCTACAGACAGAGCTGGCTGACGGATGTTGGACACAAAAAAATGCACCATGACTCACGCCTCCAGGTCCGCCGCTCTCTGGAACTGCTCAGCTCACAGAAATTTCCGGTGTGGGGCTCCACATTTAACATACATGAATGAGAAAGTCCGTTCGAGATCCGATCCGGCAAGCAGGCGTGAAGGCATGAGTTACTGACTGACAGCGGTCTCCGCAGTAGGTGGTCAGCAGATCGTCTGTCTCTCTGAGGTGCGGCCTGGGACAGCTGTAATTATTTTCCCAATTGGCATGGTTTAGGGAATGCGAGTGACCCGAGATGTGGTTCCGTGTCCCACTGCAGAGCAGGCTGGGCTGGGTCCAGTGATGTACCACTCCACAGAAGGTGGGTCCCAATCCCATTACCACCCTGACCCGGAGACCCACATTTAATATCAATTTAATGGGGAGGGAGACCACACCCTGCACCGCATCCAACCTGATGGATGTGTTTCCTACTCAGAAACTGTGACGTGAAATAAACTCCACAAAGCGGTTAACGCCGCGGTGCAATTTAGAGAATGGAAACCGGCAGGTGCTGCCGTTCGGAGTGGAGCTTCTAATGGGGCCAGGTTATGGCCCTGTGCCTGTGATCAGAGGGTTGTTGATTCAAATCCCATGATTGGAAGAGTGATTTCACCATTAGACCCTTTAGCAAGGCCCCTATCCCTCCAATCGCTCCAGGGTGAAAGCGACTGCATGTCAAAAACTCCTTCTGGAATATTCCAACATTTGGTGTGTTTCCCACTCAAGCTTGCTTTTCCGACATCGTCAGGAAGCACGGGTTTGAGCGGTGGCCAGAAACACTCCACGCCGTGTTGTTACCGACCCCCTGCCCACCCAAGGCCATACAGGCATGTGGGCTCTCTGGGTGGTATGGGGGGTGGGGGGGCATTTCCTGGCCCTGAAATTCTCTCTGTTATTAATTTTGGCCTGACATGTTTCCAAGGTGCTAAATGGGCCGCGGCCCATCGCCTGCAGGCCCACAGTGGACCCTCCTCTGACTGTCAAGCCAAATAAAATGGCCAGTGCAAAGAAAACAATCAGAAATCTATTACCGCCATCCTGAACCTCCGTGTGAGCGTGCGGATGGATGATGTCGGAGGGAAGGTGCTGATGGCAATGGCCATGCACACCGGCAACACTGAACCACTGCCGCCACGCTTGCGGTGACTCGCGCCGTGGGCAGCGACGGCTCCCCGACCTGCTCCCACCAGCCCGTCCTTCAGTCTCCTGTGGGCAAACCTGCAGTCTAAACTTGCATCTGATTGGCTGGGCTTCATCCCAGATCCCAGCTGTCCAATCACAGGAGGAGTGGGCCCATTTAAAGGAGACAATTAATGACACAGAGGCTCCAACCAGAGGTGCTCCACCTGCTGGAGACCCCAGTTCACAGCAACTGAGGCCTCCAGAGAGGATGGGGAGGTGGGTAGGTTAACCCTGGTTGAGCCCCTCACTCCCCTAACTGAATCTCCTCACCGGTGAATTAGTTCCCACACGCCTCCACATCTCCCCATGATGGATAATAAGGCAGCCCATGTTCCTGTGTGGGCGTGACGGCAAATGGAACCCGAGAACACGCCAAGGCGAGGACATGCAGTGCCAGTCACGCGTGGAGTGGGACAGAAGAGCTGAGCTGCCACATTACAAGCATCACGCTTCCAGATGCCCATGTCCACGCTCCTGCTGCCCCCTACAGAGCGACAGGAGAGGGGCATGCGGGCGGTTGCTTAGGAGATGGGTCAGATTCCCGAGTGGAAGCTTAATTTTCTCCACAAAGGAACCCCATTTGCTTCCTTTATTGAGACTACATTTGGAACTGGGGGGTGGGTGGGATATATTTCTCAGAAGTCCACTCGTACTTAATGAAAGGCACACAATACGTGGTCGCTCTTTAGAGATCCGAATATCTTCCTACAATTACGAGGCCTTCCTGGATGCTTCCGCGTCGAGCATACTCAGGATGTTATACAACTATCAGCAGTGCATCTGACGGGCAGGGGATGTTTATAAGTCCGCGCGGAGCCCGGATAAGAGGAACAGCAGGATAGATATAAATGATGCACTGAGTACCCTGGCCGAGTGGCTGCACTGGAAACCTAAATTATCCGTGTTTGAAAAGCAAATAATTATTCTACCTCTCGGTACAGCTGCAGGATTCACGGAAGCAATTACACTTATGTGTGTAGTACAGGTAAACAGCACTCAGGTCCGGACTGCATCTCAAGTCTGTATCCTTAACCGCTACGCCACCAGCTGTCCACGACACGCTGCCAATTTCGTCTCCTAATACAAGCTTTTTATGAGGTGTGGCCCATGCATTGACTGCGGCACTAATTCGCTGAACTTTACGGAAGCTTTGCTGCTCAGCCCTCATTGCGCCATCCCACTCCTGGCTGGCCCATCGCCCTGGGACCCTCGATGCATGGCTCAGCCTTGGACTGGCACGTGATTTCTTCTGAGTTAAGTGTAACCGTGGGTGACCGGGACACGCGATACAAAGACGGATTATCATTAAACATTAACGAAGGCGTTCCAAGCGGCAGCAATAAATCACAAGCGGTTAATCGTGGGAGCTGGGCAGTGCGATGTGTAGACAGGTGGGGGCTGCGTGGGGGTGACTCCATGTGGACGGGGGGGACCAGCAATGTGCAATTTATGCAGCATTCTGAGTAAATGAAGCCAAGTGCTAAAAGGGTCACTGAGTAAGGGAGCAGGTTCTGTGTCACCGGGCTGTCCCCACTGTCCCCAGGCTCAGTGTCACTGGGCTGTCCCCACTGTCCCCAGGCTCAGTGTCACCGGGCTGTCCCCACTGTCCCCAGGCTCAGTGTCACCGGGCTGTCCCCACTGTCCACATTCTCAGTGTCACTGGGCTGTCCCCACTGTCCCCAGGCTCAGTGTCACTGGGCTGTCCCCACTGTCCCCGGGCTCAGTGTCACTGGGCTGTCCCCACTGTCCACAGGCCTAGAGTCACTGGCCCGTACCCACTGTCCCCAGGCTATGTGTCACCAGGCTGTCCCCACTGTCCACAGGCCCAGAGTCACTGGCCCGTCACCAGTGCCCCCAGACTCAGTGTCACCAGGCTGTCCCCACTGTCCGCAGGCTCAGAGTCACTGAGCTGTCCCCAATGTCCTCAGACTGTGTCACTGAACTGTCCCCAGGCTCAGAGTAACCAGCTGGTCCCCATTGTCCCCAGGCTCAGAGTCACTGGGCTGTCCCCACTGCAACCAGGCTGTCCCCACTGTCCCCAGGCTCAGAGTCACTGGATTGTCCCCACTGCACCCAGGCTGTCCCTAATGTCCACAGGCTGTCCCCACTGTCCCCAGGCTCAGAGTCACTGGATTGTCCCCACTGTCATGTATATAAAAAAAAAAAAGCAGCCAGAGATGGCTTGCATCCCGACCCCCATGCTAAGCACAGCCTCTCTCATGCAGCTGTTACGCCAAAAGCCAGAGCCTGAAAGCAAAGAAAAGCCCTCCCCCACCCCTCCGTGGGAGCACCCCGCCCCCCAACTCATCAGAGAAGACCAGGCAAGTAGCCCCGCCCAAGCGCCCCCGCATCCGAGCCTCTCCTTACCTGGGATCTCCTCTGAGCGGGGCGTGAGGTTAATCTCGTCCGCGACTGTTAAAGGGCATAAACAATTGGATTGGGTTAGTGCTGGCTCCCCAAAAGGCGCCGGGACGCCTTCAAGCGGCCAATCAGATGACATGCAAATCACGTATGGGAAGAGAGGGGTTGAAGGACAGAGGCAGGCAAGTGGAGAAGTTTCTAGAACCATGCCAAGCTGTCAATCATTTCGACTGGGTATCACGTGTTAGCTTACCACTTTCAGGCAGAGCCTGAGGATCAGGGATTGGTGCCTCACTCACTCCCCCCCCCCCCCCCCCCC